TGCCGTGGCGGCAAGGACGAGGAGTAAGAGGATTGAGGCGGTTGCGGGACCAGATGAGGGTAAACTGAAGAAAAAGAAGAAATTGGTGAAGGGAGGCCGAAAGATTGGGGCGGCAGTGGTCACCGCCGCCTCTGCCATCAGAAGTTCGCCACGGCTGGCCAAGAGCGGTGGGTGTGCTTAGAAGGTGTTTGATGATTTGTCTGACTGAGAACAAGGAAAAAAGAAAGTAAATAAAAAAAAGTGTATTTAGATTGGAGTCTGTGATTAGATTTAATTGCTTTCTTTTAGTCTGAGTGCTTGTGCTTGATTATCGATTAAGAAATGTGAGATCAGTTTTTCATTTATTTGATATAATGTCTGAATTGATTTCAAGTTACTTCACCAAAATTGTATTGTTAGACTTAGAGCATGATCATTGCTTGTTTATCAAAAAGGTCTATCACAGGTTTATGGCTGTGGTCATCTATGTTGATGATATTCTTCTCATTTATACACATGAGGCTTATTTGAATAGTGTTAAGGTTTACTTGCATTCACTCTTTAGTTACCATCTATGTTGAGTATATTGCTAGTTTTATCTATTATTGGACTAGTGGGTAGTTCAGTCTTCTTCTTTGGTTTGTAATCTCATTGTAACAGAACATAATTCTCCTTGATCTGAGTGTGATTTCACAATGGAAAATATCTTATTTTTTGCATAATGGAGTTGACGAATGTGGTCCTACGGACATGAAGCGCACAAAAGTAGGGTGAGCTTAGATGGTCTTAGTGGGGGTCTATCATAAAACTAATTGGTGATGAGAAGAAGTAACTCATATATACTGCAGGGCTGTCTCCAGAAATTTGGAGGCTCCAGACAAGTTTTTCCTTTACGAATTTTCTCGATTTTAGCTTACGTGGTAATTAGGGTTATTTGCAAATAAAATAGTGAATTTAAATGAGACTATTAAATAAATAAATAAATAATTGAAAAAAAAACTATTTTTCTTGTTTTTTCTTGAACTTGAAATTGATAAATTACCTTTTGGTTACAAAGATCTTTAATAAATTACATTCATCTAATCACGAGGACAACAAAGAGAAGTAAATAAAAATCATATCACTACATAAAATATTTATTTTCACACAACTTGTTCTAACTGAACATCATATGAAAACAAATGAAATATTTAGGGCCTCAATTTCCTACACAAATCACATATTTTGTCATTAGTCCTTTCATTTGTGTAAATATTGTGTAAATAGACAAAATCCAACACAAATACAATATTAAAAAAATAACAAGGCCTCATTTGTGTAGATAGACAAAATCCAACACAAATACATAATTTAAAAAGAAAAATATGAGGCCCAAATAAAATAGAGGCCCTAGGCCCATGCTTAGGTTGCCTCGCCCTAGAGCCAGGCCTGATATACTGGATTCATTTACTATATAAAATCAATGTGGGACAATCACAAGTGATTTATTTATTTATTTTTTTTTTAGGTACAAGTGAAGAGGCCGAAGCCTAACACACTAGAGCATTACACGACGTGGGCGAGCCACGCCTAAGATATCATGACTCAGCCGATGGCCAAGGTCCTGTAGCGGGGTTAGAAGGCGATGAAAACAACCTGAACACTAGCAGCTAGCTAAGCTAACTTATCGGTCGAGAAATTTCCTTCCCGATATATATGGGACAATCGAACACACCACTCGTGCCTGAGTAACTCATGAATGGCTTGAATAATTGTTTCATGGAGACCCAGGTTATCCTCATTCCCCGTTACCATGGCTACGACACTACTATTATCCACTTCCACCAACACTTGTCGTGCTCCCAAATCCCAAGCTAATCGTAGTCCTTGATAGAGACCCTATAATTCCGCCCTGGTGATAGAACAAAACCCACATTCATAAGAAATCTATCAAGCCAACGACCATTCGAGTTCTGTGCTAACCCTGTCAAAGAATAACGTATGAAACTGATTCATCCAACTTGATGATCAGTGTGGCTCAAGGGCCGAATATATATATACAAAACGGATTTGAAAATACAAGGTAAGAAATAAAGAGTATCCCTAAATGACTACTAATGATCCTCCTACCAAAAATACATGATACACCAAATAATACATTAACACCCCCCCTCAAGTTGGA